GTCCGTCGTGATCGGGGTCCCTCCTCGCACCCTACCCTCGACCACTACCCCTACGCCCGGGTTCCGGCCTTCGCCACCACCTCGCCCCCCTCCCTCCCCCCCCCCCCCCCCCTTCCCCTCCTGCCACTTTCACGGCCTTTTCCCGCTTTCTGGCATATCACCGCCTCACCCCCCCCCCCTCCTCCCCTCTCCCTCTCCCACCTCTTCCACAGGCGGCTACCACCCGGTGGACATTGGACACACGTTCAACTCGCGGTTCCGGGTTGTGCGCAAGCTCGGATGGGGCCACTTTTCGACGGTGTGGCTGGCGCTGGACGAGGACTCGGGCCGGTATGTGGCGCTCAAGATTGTCAAGTCGTCGCCGCACTACATGGAGGCAGCGGAGGATGAGGTGAAGCTCCTTGCCCGTGCGTCTGAGCACGATGTGGGCGGCAAGCAGCCTGTGGTGCACCTCATCGACCACTTTGTGCACTACGGCCCGCACGGCAAGCACGTGTGCATGGTCTTTGAGGTCCTCCACTGCAACCTGCTCCGGCTCATCAAGCAGTCCAACTACAATGGGCTCCCACTGGACATTGTGCGGCGAATTGCCAAGCAGGTCCTCGAGGGCCTTGCCTTTCTCCACGACGAGTGCGGGATTATTCACACGGACCTCAAGCCGGAGAACGTGCTGCTCACGATTTCCGAGGAGGAGCTTCAGGAGATGGCGGCCACGCCGCCAAACCTGGCGCACGTGCGTGGGTTCGGCCGGCGGCGCGACCGCAAGCTGCGGCGCAAGCAGTCCAAGGCCAAGAAAGAGAAGAACAAGTCGAATGCGTCACTCAACGGCAAGGGCGGCGACGGCGAGCGTGCGACGCGCGGAACCGAGGCGACGCGGGCGTCCGAGGACGCGGCGGCCGAGGGTGCGTCGGCATCCGAGTCGCGGTCGCCGTCCAAGAAGCGACGGAAGGAGGTCAAGGTCGACCTCTCGACCAAGGTCAAGATTGCGGATCTCGGCAACGCGTGCTGGGTCGACAAGCACTTTACCGACGACATCCAGACGCGCCAGTACCGGGCACCCGAGGTCATCCTCGGCGCTGGCTACTCGACCAAGGTGGATGTCTGGTCGCTGGCTTGCATGATTTTTGAGCTCTGCACGGGCGACTTTCTGTTCAACCCGCACTCGGGTGGCTACTACTCGCGTGACGAGGATCACTTGGCGAGGCTGATTGAGACACTGGGTCCCATGCCCCGCGCAGTCGCTACTCGTGGCAAGTATGCGCGGGACTTTTTCACCCGCCGCGGCGAGCTGCGCAACATCCGCAACCTGCGGGAGTGGCGCATCCACGCCGTCCTCCGCGAAAAGTACGGCTGGCCGCTCAAGGAGGCCGTCGCCCTCTCGTTCTTCCTTCAGCCCATGCTCGAGTTTGATCCCAAGTCGCGCGCCTCGGCCGCAGACATGCTCAAGCACCCCTGGCTCTCCCAGTCGACCGGCGACGCCGGCCCGGCACCGGCCCCAGAAACCGCCGACTCGGCCGGCCCGACCCAGCCGCAATCCGCCGACGACGGCCCGTCCGATGACGCCGCGGCTTCGTCCACCGCCGCCTCCTCCTCGGAGGCTGCTGCGGCAACGACGGCTGCCACCAGTGTCTCAGCCGCCAAGAATGAATGACCTAGCTCCCCCCTCCCCCTTCCCCTCCCCACTCTGAACGTAGTCTTACTTGTTGCGCTTGTGCGTCCGCTGCTTGTCAGCGTGCTCGACGAGCTTCTCAAAGATCTCCAGACCCTTGCGGGAGCGGACGGCGTTCATGAGGGCAAAGACCTTGTTCGGCTCGTTGGTCGTCGCGCCGTACTCTTCGAGCTCGTCCTCGGTCCGCGGGACCCAGAACGGGTCGAGCGGGTTGGTGGCAAACGAGGCAAAAGCAAGCTGAGGGGCGGCGACGCCGGTGGTCGAGCGCTGGATGCGGTCGGCGAGGCCAAACGACTCGGAGACCGGGAGCAGGGCCTCGATGACAAAGTACGGCGTGCCCTCGCGCATCGACTCGTTGAGAACCTTGCCGCGCCGCTGGAAAAGAAGCGCATAGAGCTTGCCCAGCGAGTCGGCGTTGGCCTGCACCTCGCACTTGTACATGGCCTCCATCAGCCGCGGCGACTGTGCGAGGAGCGCCTCGCCAGCTGCACTCTTCATAGCAGACATCATTTGCCCGGCAAGCGGGCCGTAGTTGGCGGCGGCGGCCGAGTTGACCTCGGCGCCGGCAATCCGCAGCAGGCCGACAACCTCAAACGCCACTCCCATCAACGGCTCGGCGCAGAGCGGGCCGGCCGAGGTCGCCAGTTGGAACCCGGTCGCCATCGACGACATGAGCTCGTCGACGAGCTCCGCATCCGTCGCCGCCGCGAGGCCGTTGAGCAGGACGTTGGGCCCGACCCGCGACGGGCCGAGCGCCGCCACCGCGTCGACGAGATGGCCCCATCCGGCGGCCTCAAACGCGGGTGCGAGCCCGGTCTCGCGCACCGCGTCCTGCGCCGCGCTCGCCGACGTGCCCATCGCGTCCTTGAGCGCATCGCGCGCGGCGTCAATGGCGCCCACTAGCGAGCCCGGCATCGGCGCCGCCGACACAAACACGGCGCAAGTTTTGTCAGCCGAGAGCGCGGCGACAACCGGCGCCGTCGGGCCGAGGTGGAAAGCTGCGCCGGCGAGCGGATGCTCGCCGGTTGCGGTAAGGTGCGCAGCGACGAGCCGCTCCGCCAGCCGCACCCCACGCAAGCCCGCGTCCGAGCCGCCCGGCCGCCGTGGTGTCGATGTCGCCGTCTACATCGTCGGCAGGCGCCGGCGCGTCGGGCGCGCTACTCGACGCGGCGCCGTCGGAATCCGAAGGAGCCAGAGAAGTCGCTGCTGACGAGCGGCTCGTCTCGTTCGAAGGCGTCGCGAGCGCCATGATTGGGTGTGCGAGGCCGGCGTCAGCGGCGGCGACGGCGGCGGCAGCGCGGGCACGAGCCTCGGGCGCAACGTCGGTGGCGGCACGCGAGTCGACGTTGGCATCGTCGACAAGCGAGACAACGGTCTCGCGGTACGGCACAATGGGGTCCGAGGCCCAGACGGCGCACTTTGCAAAGCGCTCACGGAGATCCTTGAGACACTTTTGCAGATGGAGTTCACCGGCAGCAAGAAGGACGTGCTCGCCATTGGCCTGAACAAGAACCTGGGCGCACGGGTCGGCTTGGTTGAGGATGCGCAAGCCGTCCTTGACCTTGGCCAAGTTAGCCGGGTTCCGCGGCTCGACCGCGACGCGCACAATGGGCGCGACTTGCTGCTGCATGGCGGTAAACGAGGGAACGGCGAGAGAGGTCGAGAGCGTGGCGGTGTTGAAGACCACATCCTCCAGCCCGCCGATGCCGCACACGTTGCCGGCAGGGACCGACTGAGCATACTCGAGCGAGCGGCCCATCATGAGGAAGAGCGTGGTGATGGTGATCGACGCCACGTGCTCGTCCGGCCGCCGCGGATCGTACTTGGGCCCGAGCACATACACCGTGTCGCCGACTGAGAGCGTGCCGGCAAAGACGCGGGTGAAGGCCACAAAGATGGTGTCGTCCGGCGAGCGCGACTGCGCCGGGGCGCTGGCGGCCGAGCTTGACGCCGCGGCTGCGGCGCGGGCGGCGGCGGCGTCGGCCTCGTCAAAGTCGTCGGGCAACGGGATGCCCGGGTCGACGTCGTCGGACGCGTCAGGCGCGCCGCCGTCCGCACTAGCGCTTGCTGCGGCGTCACCATCCTTCTCGCGCTGGCGCTTGTCACGGTACGCAGTGGAGATGACCTGCTCGGGCGCCGGAAGGGTGTCTGCGGCAAAGGCGACCATCTTGGAGACAAAGGCCAGCGTGACCGGAGCGAGCGGGTCGCAGGCGGCGACGGCGGTGCCAACGGCGGCATCGAGGTGGGCTGGCGGCTCGGGGCTCGCCAGCGTCGGGAGGAGCATGGGGAAGCGGAGCGCTTGCGCGGTGCGCGGCGAGGGAAGGACGGTGACGACCTTGTCGAGGATGGCCGGGGCAAGCGGGAGCCACTGCGCCATCATGGTCTTGGCGAGGATGCGGCGATCCTTGGAGCGGAGGACGCGGGCCGGAATGCGAAGTTTGAGCGAGGCCACGATCTTGTCGATCTTGTCCGGGTCGGGCGCGACGACCGACGCGGTGTAGACGGACCAGATGTTGGAGAGGACAAGCGAGACAAAGAGCGGCTTGAGCTTGCCCTTGGCGTCGTCGTGCTTAAGAATGGTCTTCTTCTTGGGATGGTAGTAGTAAGGGCCCCAGAGAGTGCGCGAGAGCGCCTTGCGCGACGCGCCCATCTTAGCTGCGTACAGCTCGACAAAGTGCTCGAGCGAAAAAGCCCAGCCATCGATGGCTGAGGCAAAGAGCACGTTACCGCGCTCGGGCGAAAAGTAGAGGTCCTTGTCGTCGGCGTCGGCCCAGATGTCGTCGTCGTTCGGGCTGTCGCCGGCAGCCGTCGTGCCGCCGCTTGCCCCATCGCTTGAGTTCGCGGCGGCCGAGTCGTACTTGGAGAGCAAGTCCGAGACAAAAAGAGTGCCTGTGATAACATTGACCTGCTCCAGCAGCTGGCGCATGTGCTCGTAGGCCTCCATGGGATCGAGCTTGAGCTCGAGGATGAGGCGATCGATCTTGTTAAAGACCAGAATCGGGGTGAGCTGCTCCCGCCAGGCCTGCTCGAGCACGCCATGAGTCTGCTTGGAGACGCCCTCGAGGACGTCGACGAGGACCAGTGCACCATCGCAGTTGCGGACAGCGGTGGAGACCTCCTGAGCAAAGTCGAGATGACCGGGAGAATCGATGAGATTGATGAGATGCGGCTGCGGCTTGTCTGCCTCCTTGGGCATGAAACCATGGAGAAGCGAGATGGCCGATGCCTTCATGGTGATGCCCCGTGCCTGCTCCTCGGGCGTCGAGTCCATGTATCGCACCTCTCCCACCAGTCGCGATGAGATGATCTGGTTGGTGGCGATGAGTGAGTCGGAGAGCGTTGTCTTCCCGTGGTCCACATGGGCGAGGATGCACACATTGCGCACGGCAGACGCATCCTGCTGCACCTTGCCCAGCATGGCCGGCGTGATGTACGGCATGCTCGCGGGGGGTAGGGTCGTGGGGTGGTGCCGGGTGTCGGGGTGGTGGCCGTCGGGGGGGTGGGTCCGACCTAGGTCGCGTGTGGTATGGTGGCGGTGGCCGAAAGAAGGATGGATGGCGTTCGGCACCAAAGGGGGGAGGGGGGGGAGGGGAGGGGGGGAGGAGTCAAATGGAACCGATCGATTGGAGGCGGAGAGGGGGAGAGGTATGGCGATCAGGGTAGGCTACGGGTGCTTCACTGGTTTCATCACATGCACACAATGTCGAATGTTACGAGGATGGCGGGGATGATGGGGTCGGTGGGGTCGGCGGGGTCGGCGGGGTCGGCGGGGATGGCGGTGATGGCGGTGTTGGCGGTGTTGGCGATGTTGGCAGAGGCAGCGCAGATGGCGGCGACGGCGGGGCTGGCGAGGTCGGCTCACACGACCCAGACGCCGACGACCACGACCCAGACGATTCAGACAAAGACGGCGGCTGGCCTTGCCAGAGCGACGATGTCGAGTCGAACGAGCTGAAGGCATCTGAAGGTGGGCTGCGTGATGGCACACGTTGAAGCGAGGCTATTGCCGGTCCGTACTCGTCGGAGACCGAGTGCGATATCCGGTACGACTGGTGGTGCGCCCAGCGCTCGACAATGGTGCTCTCACCCTCACCGGGTACGGTCACATTCAGCCGCGCGCCGGCAGCGGTCACCAACTCGGACAGCTCCCACGGTGGCGATTGAGCCAATGACGACGATAGTGAGAGCGACGACGACAGCGAGAACGACGACGATGTCGACGACGACGTTGTCGGTGACGAGAGCGATAGCGAGACAGCGCCCGTCGCGTCCATCAGCGTGCCCGGGAGCACCTGGGTGGCCGCCGGCGAGATGAGCGATGGGAGCGAGAGCACGTTCTCGGCAAGGAGCTCACGATGAGCTGCGCGGTTGGCCTTAGCCTCAGCCTCGTGGTGTCTGGTGCGGTCTGTCGACTCGGATGAGGTCGACAATACACGTGTGACCATCACCGCTATATCGTCGACCTTGGTCCGCCGCTTGCGCAGCTGGAGCCCGGCGACAGTCCGGCATACCCACACGGCGCAGCCACCGACACCGACCATGGCGATGACAAAGACTACGAGCGAGGCGACACGCCCGGCGCTCTCACTCATCGTGTCCGCTACCAACTGGTTGAATATCGCCACCGTTGCCGCTGTCGCGTAGGTTGCGGCCAGCACCACGTTCCGCCATGGCGCTCGCAGCGGGCGGACAACCACCACGACGCACGCGGCGCCGTAGAGCAGCACCGCAGTCATCCCGGCCTGGGCCCACTCGGCGTCGCGAAGAAAGACGCTAATGGCGGCAACGACTGCAAACATGGTAAGCTGCGCCACTTGCCACCAGTACGCCTGCTCGTGGTATTGCTCTACAAGGTATCCGTGCCGCGCAAGCACCCGTGAGCTCCGTGACGTCAGCTGCGTCGTCACGTAGCCAAGGTACCGGAGCAGCCGCACGTTGAGCGCCACCGCTACCACGTATCCAAGCGAGTACAACACCAGCCCAGAGAGCGCAGTAGCAAACATCGCAATGTGCAAGCCGCGGAAGCACTCCAAGTTGCGCGCCGCGGCAACTACGAGATCACTACGGACTCCGTCCACGCAAAACATGGCCTCCAAGCACGCACTCGTCACAGGCAAGTACATCACGTCGGCCAACAGCATTAGCGCCCGCGGCAGCCGGTCCGAAAACTGGGCAGCTCGCGACCGACAGCAGAGCAACAGGTTGGCAAGCACACCACAGGCAAGCACCACCAAAGCCGCCCATGCGCCCAGCGTCCCGAAGAATACCGCCTCGTACGAGCCGGGGACCATCTCGCATCCAGGCCGCACAAACTGCAGGTCCATCGCCGCAATAGAGAGAAGCTGGTACCCATCTGCAAGGGTCTGCGCCACCGCGCCGGCGTTGGCGTTGGCCACCGAGTACACTAGGACCATCGCGAGCAGCGCCTGGGCCGCATAGTTCAGATGGGTGTCCGAGAGCATGACCATCGCGGCAAGGAGAAGCACGACAAAGACCACATTGGCCGCAATGAGCACTCCCGACAGCACCCTCGAGTTCGAGCACGGCACACACCGCGTGCCCAGCTGATAGTAGCCGACATCACACTCGGCACACATCCGCCCGCGGTAGCCGCTTCCGCACCCGGATGCCTTGCCACCCACACATCGCTCTGACGCCGGCGCTCCGCATGCCGCCACATAGCCGGCATACTCGGCCTCGGTCCAGTAGCCAGGACGCGGCCAGAGCCGGTAGCCGCCGGGGCAGATGGCGCCGATCGGACAAGGCCTACATGCGACACCGCGGCCAAAATGGCCCTCGTATGGGCAATCATCAGTAAAAAACAACTCGGTGTACGTCGCCTCCATACCCGTCGCCGTCTCGGCAACCGTCACCGTGAGATAGCCCTTGGCCATCACCCGCGGCAGCATGAGCCTGAGCTCGGTCCCGGACTCGGAGACCGTCATCGACGCACCGTCGACAGGCGTGAGCTGCGAAGCAACATTGACCGAGAGGTCTCTCGCCAGGTTCCGCCCGAGCAGCGTGACCACAGAGCCGGCCATTGCCGCCACGCGTGGACTAGTGCCAGTCACAAGCGGCCACGACGCCGAAACAATGCGGGCGGGCGATGACAGCAGCGGCTCGGCCGACGGCGGATACGACGTCGACCGCGTTTCAGACGCATCGATGCGGAAGGTCACGGCTGCATCGGCCGAGTTGGCCGACACGTCGTCAGAGAGAGCGGCAATGCAAAAGTGCTGCGGAGCGCTCCAAGTCTCCGGGCCAAAGTCAAAGCTGCGTGACTGCGCATGGTCAAGACCAACCGGCAGTGTCGACGTGATCCGGAGTGGTGGCACGTGTGTGTCGCCGTCCCACACTCCGCGGACAAGCCGCAGCCGGCTCGTCGACGTTTCGACAACAACTCGGACAGACGCTGGGTGCGCAACAGTCGCACCCTTGAGCCACGGACGCGACTGAAGCGCAATGGCCGAGCACGAGACATGCCCAGCTTCAGTAACGACTGCAGTACCCGGCGCCACTGGTGGCTCGTTGATAAGGAAAGATGGACGGATCGGGACTGCGAGATCAAATGGTGTAACGTCGAGGCTGTCGCGAGTGACGTCAAGAACAATGACCGAGACGGGAGCAGGCGCTGGCCCGAGCGAGCGCAAAAACGCCGGATCAGAGTCCGGCGCAAAAGAGAACAAAACATTGACGGTCACCGCGCCCTCGGCAGCAAACGCATCGGCAGGCGCCACCAGGGCTAGCTCCTGGAAAACGTTCCAGTTTGAGGCGTCAAAGCGGAGCTGGATGGCTCGGGACGTCGATCCTGGGAGTGCAGCTGGCGACGAGAGCACAAGATGCGGCGGGCGACCAGGCTCGATTGGCACATCGGCGCTGGCAGCAAGAGCGACTGCGATGACAACCTCGGCAGCCGGCTCGCGGGTGAGCTGCACAAGCAGCGGCGCGGTCTCGCCCTCGCGCAACCCGCCAAGCGAGACCTCTGCCCCGCTGGTGAGTGGGAGGACGGAGCTTGCCGTGTCGTCGACGACAATCAGGCTGGCCACTTCTGTCCCCCACGAGCCGGAGAGCTTGGCCGACGGCTTGAGCACAGGGAACGACCAGCCGGACGCGTCGTAGATCGGGACCGAGCCGGTCGGCAGCACGGTGGTCGATCCGATCTGGAGGCGAGACGCACCCGCCACAGGCTCGCCCAGCGTGATGACCAGCTCGGTGCCATCGGACGACCACACGCCGACTAGGTCTGGTGAGAGCGCGGCCGAGAGCGGGACCGGGTTTGACGGCTGCTCGTCAGCGGCGTATACAACTGCAAAGGCCGCGTCGAGGACAGCGACAGATGCCAGCGGCGGCGCGTTGGTCGGCTGTGAAAAAACAGCGTGAGCGTATCGCCGGCCGACACCACATCGTCTGCGTTGTCGGGGTCATGGGCGATGAGCGCGACAATGGTCGGCGCCGGTGCCCGCGGTGGCGGCGGAGGCGATGCCGGCGGCGGCGGCGATGGTCGGATACACATCGGCGGCTCGCGATCGTACGCCCCGTCGCCCTGGCATACTATGCTGATTCCGGCAGCCCGGCTGAGCAGACACCAGTACGTCGCTGTATCACCTGGAGCCATTCGCTCGCCCCCCGCCACCGACGACGAGCTGAAAAAGGTTCCACCGCGAACGTGCGGCGGCATCGGGCACGAGGGGCAGATGGTGAGCGAGCCGCCCATCATCTCGGCCGTCGACGTGTTGACTGCACCCAAGGATGAGGGGAGCACGGTACTCGAGGCCGAGAACGAGCGGGTGTACGAGATGCCACCATCGCAGGTGAGCGCCGGCAGCGCCGCCGGCTCGCGGTACATCACGCCTGTTTCCGACGACGTCACCGCCAGCGCGTAGTACTTTCCGCCACCAACGGCAGCTTCTGGACAAGCTCGACCTCATAGGCGTCTCCGCCGATGGCATTGATCGAGCTTGTGGTAGTATCTGCAAAAACTCTGGTGTACGCCGCCGGCGTGTCCGAGCTCGCGGCGTAGAGCGCGTAGGTGACCGACGACGGCGGTGAGGAGAAGCGGAGTGTGGCACCGCAGAGCGTGGCATTGGCCATGGTGTCCGGCGAGTGATAGAAAAAAGCGTTTGCATGCAAAAAACCCGTCATCGCCTCGGCATCGGCCGTTCCGCCCCAATCCACGGTGCAAACGGCTGCGCCATGGCTTGCAGGCGCGAGGGCGGCAAGGACGAGCACGAGGGCGACCATGAGGCCGGCAGCTGCAACGGAGTTGACCAGCGCCGAGAGTGGGCGCAAGGAGGCCACGGCCATGCTCCCTCCACGGTAGGTAGCACGGCGTGGGCGGGCGGGAGGCGAGTGACGTGGAGAGTCACTTGCAGCGAGTAGGGGGTGTGGAGGCCGGCGTGGAGGCCTCGGCCGGCGTGGTGTGGCGTGGCGTGGCGTGGCGGCGTTGCTGTCCCGGTTGCCGGACGCGGCGAAATTGGTGGCATTTCGCGCTACTTGGCAAACGCCTTCACGACGGGTAGGAGGCAGCAGAGCAGGTTTACGACCGCGAGCGCGGCGTCAACTGGCGATCGGCGGAGCTTTCTCTGCGATGCGACAACGACATCGGGCGCGGCTTGGCCGAGGTCGAGGTGAATGCAGTGGGCGATCGCCGCAGAGTGCGGCTGGAGGTGCGAGCTGGCGAGCGCGAGTGCGAGCTGGGCTGCGGTTCGAGGCCAGAGCGTGACTCGGATCGGTGGCTTCTGAGGCGCGATGGACTGGTTCTTCCGCCCACCGCTGCCGACGCAAGCGTCGACTTTCGAATAAAGACGCTGTGCGTTCCGTCGACGGACATTTGGCGGACGTGCAGTCGGCTGGAGAGCACAACGTGTCCCGATGGAGACCTAGTTGCCATTGTATCGATCGAGCGCAACTGGCGGAGAGAGTTGGTGCCAGCGCCGCCGGCGCCTGAGGTGTTGCGCCGTGAGCGACGCTGTCGCCGTGCCGTCTGGCATGTGTCGGGCGCCATGTGCGACGCGGATATGCTGCTTGACACTCGCTGCGATGTCTTCCGCAAATCCGAGGTGAGGTCGATGGTCAGCGCGCGCTTGAACGGCTTGCTGCGTGGTGAGCGCGGACTGATCCGGCTACGCGGGCTCATCGCCGTGGGCGGTGCGACTAGGCCGCTCGACTGCTGCTGCGCCAGAAACGGGAGCGGAGCACATGAGCCTTGTTCCTCAAGCAAGTCAGCAGGCACTGGTGCAGCCGCTGCCGACGACGACACGGACGACGACGACGAGATCGCAGACGAAGTTGACGACGTCGACGAGCTCATCGGCTTAAAGTCAGAGATACTGCGGTCTACCACCGCTGGCAGCTGGTGTGAGTTCAGGCTTCGCGAAATCGATGCAATGACAAGCGAGGCCGAGGCGCGCAAGTCCTGGGAGGCCTGGAACTCCAGACGGGCGGCGTCGAGAATGTCGGCAGGCGGCCGCGAGTCGGACGACGCCGTCGACGCTGATGATGACGACGGAGCCACGGTCGGCGCCGCCAGATGCGATTGGGACAGCGCCACCACCTTTGAGCGACGGCGAAGGCCACGAACAGCGGTCAAACCTGCCCAGGCAAAGCCAGCTAGCATGGCCGAGAGCGCGATGAAGAACACCACCCGCGACAGGGTCAAACCCAGCGAGCGCGAGACGAGCGAACTGGCTACAATCTGGTTGCTCATGGTCGAAAAGGCACCAGTCAAGTAGGTGCCAGCGGTGACTCCGTTCTTCCACGCGACTTTTGCCGGACGGAGGACGAGGGCTAGGATGGCGACAGCAAAGAGAGCGGATGCCGAGATGCAGGCCTGGATCCACTCAAAGTCACGGAGGAAGACGTTGGCTAGAGCGATGGAGCCAAAGAGAGCCAGCTGAGCCAGGATCCACCAGTACATCGACTCGGTATACTGCTCAAAGAGGTAGCCGTAGCGGGCGCGGACTCGGGCATGCGCCTCGTCGTCGACGTTGGATACCAGACCGCTTGCCGCAAACGATCGCAGCTTGTACATAACGAGCAGCGGAAAGCCAGCGGCGTATGCTATGACGCCAATGAGAGCAAGAACAAACATTGGGCGGTGCGAGCCTTTGAGGCAGACCATGTCGCGGGCGGCGGCCACGACTCGGTCGCCCCCAGCGCCCGGGACACAGAACAGGGCCTCGAGAAAGGTGGTCGTCAGCGTGATGTAGACCATGGTGCTAAAGATGAGAAGCGCGCGTGGGAGGCGATCGGCGTAAAAAGTGGCGGCGGAGCGTCGAAGTCGCAGCAGCATTGCCAGCGTGGCCACGACCAAGAGAGCCATGGCGGCGCACATCGAGACCGCACCGTAGAAGAGCGCTAGGTACGAGCCTGGGATGGTCTCGCACCCCGGCCGCACAAACCGGAGGTCCATGGCCACGATCGAGAGCAGTTGGTAGGCCTCGGCAAGGAAGCCGTCCATCGCACCCGCATTGGTCTTGGCCACCGAGTACACCATGACCACCGCGAGCAGCAGCTGGGTCGCCACGTTGAGGTACGCATCCGAGAGCAGAACCACGGCGGCGAGGAAGAGGAGGCCAAAGACCACGTTGGTGAGGATGAGGGTGACGAAAACGACCTTGGAGTCGGAGCACGCCACGCATCGTGAGCCGAGCTGGTAGTAGCCAACATCGCACTGGGCGCACATCCGCCCACGGTAGCCACTTCCGCACCCGGATGCCTTGCCACCAGCGCACCGTTCAGATGCCGGTGATGCACACGCCGCTACGTAGCCGGCGTCCTCAGCCTCGGTCCAGTAGCCCGGCTGCGGCCAGAGCCGGTAGCCACCGGGGCAAATGGCGCCGATCGGACAGGGACCACATGCGGTTCCGCGGCCAAACTGGCCCTCGTACGGGCAATCATCAGTAAAGAACAGGTCCGAATAGATTGCAAAGAGGCGAGTCGTGGGCTCAGTGACTGTAACAGCGAGATAGCCTTTGGACTCGACCGGCGCCGTCAGGAGCTGCAGCTCGGAACTTGGCGAGAGCATGGTGACGTTGGAGCGGTCAACGGGGGCCAATTGTGAGGCGATGTCCAGGTCGAGGTTGAGGCCGAGGTTGCGGCCAAGAAGAGTGACCATCGAGCCAGCCATGGCTGCCACCCGCGGACGGGTTCCGGTTACCAGCGGCCAAGACGCCGAGACGATTCGGATCTGCGACGGCGGGAGGGCGTTGATAGCTGGCGCAAACGGCGTCGACCTGGTTCCCGAGCCAGCGATGGCGTACGTGACAGCAACATTAGCCGAGTTATCTGGCTCGTCGTCTGTGATCGCGACGACACAAAACGGCTGCGGCAGGTTCCAGTTGGAAGCATCAAAGTCAACGTCGAGAGTAGCGCGGAGCGCAAGTCCGACCGGAGTCGCCTGGGTGATGCGGAGTGGCGGGATGTGAGCGGTGACATCCCAAGCGCCGCGGACAAGGCGGAGACGAGTAGTGGGCGTTTTGAGGGAGACCCGGACAGTTGCGGGGCGCGCATCGGCGCCCGCGCCTGCGAGCCACGGCGTCGACTGCAGCGCAATGGCTGAGCATGAGACGTGGCCCGCCTCTGTGATGAGAGTCGTGCCGGGCGCAACCGATGACTCGTCGGAGAGAAAGACGGGCGGAATGGGAAAGGGCAGGGTGTGCGGCGCAAGCGAGAGACCTTCCGGCGTTGCATCAACAACGACGGCGGTGAGGCGGGCGCCGGCAAAGGCAGCCACAAAGCTGGCATCGGAGCTCGGCGCTGGTGTCAGGGCGACAACAACTGCGGCAGGATCCTCCGAGGCGTAGGAGTCGGCGAGGCTCCGGATCTCGATTCTCTGAAAAACGTTCCAGTTAAAGGCGTCGAAAACGAGCCGGAGCGCGGCAGCCGGATTTGGTGCGGCGGTCGGTGAGGTAAGAGTGAGGTGGGCGGGACGGCCAGGCTCGATTGGCGAATTGCTGCCGTCGGCAAAGCTGAGGTCGATGGCAACTGCTGAGGATGGCGGCTTGGAGAGCTGGGCAAGGACGGAGAGGGCATCGCCCTCGACTAGTTCTCCAGCATCGAAAACCGACGACGGAGAGAGGCGAGTGATGGCACCGGTAGCGTCGTTGATGAGCATGAGCGTCGATGCGAGCGAGCCCCAGGTGCCCGAGAGCTTTGCCGACGGGCTAGTGGCGGGAAGCGACCAGCCGGTGGCAGTGGTAATGGCCACGGCGCCGGTCGGCACAACGATGGTGGAGCCGATGCGGAGCTGCTGCGCCGAGGCGGATGGCGTGCCGAGGGTAATGGTCAGGAGCTTGCCGTCGGCAGACCACGCGCCGGAGAGCGACGGCGAGAGCGCGACCGAGAGCGCGACCGGACTCGCCAGATCGGCAGCGGTGAAGGCGAGCACGAAAGCGGCATCGAGCTCGGTGGCGGTCGGCAGGTGAGGGGTATTGGTGGGCGAGGAAAAGGAAAGTGTGAGTGTGTCGCCGGCAGAGACAACTTCGTCAGCGTTGTCAGGATCGTCAGCGATGAGGGCGGTTATGATCGGGCCGGGCGCGCGGGGCGGCGGCGGCGAAGGCGGCGGAGGAGGCGATGGAGGGGGAGGAGGCGGCGGAGGAGGCGATGGAGGGGGAGGAGGCGATGGTGGTGGCGGCGAGGGCGGTGGTGGCGGGGATGGAGGGGGAGGAGGAGATGGTGGCGGCGGCGAGGGCGGCGGTGGTGGAGGAGGGAACGGAGGTGGGGATGGTGGAGGGGAAGGCGAAGGAGGAGGCGGAGACGGAGGCGGTGGCGGTGAAGGTGGGACGCATGTTGGCGCAGCTGTGTCGTATGTCCCATCGGAGAGGCATGTGGCGGTGAGGCTGCCGACTGGGTTGTTGGGCGCATCACAGGCGTAGGTGACGACGTCGCCGGGCGAGACCCGGGCGCCGCCTGCGACAGACGAGGTAATTGAGACCGAGCCACCAACCGGCGGCTGCGGGGTAGGACACGAGGGGCAGATCGTCAGCGATCCGCCCATCAGCTCCGAGGTCGAGGTGCCGAGCGAGGCGAGCGAGGCCGGTGGCGAGAGGCCGGCGCCCGAGAACGATCGCGTGTACGAGATGCCACCGCTGCAAGCTACCGCCGGCAGGGCGATGGACTCAGCATACGGAGAGCCTGTGGAAGCGGAGGCGACGGCGAGGGCGTAGTGGGTGCCTGCGACTAGCGGTAGGCGCTCGGCGAGGACAAGGTCGTACTCGTCACCACCGAGCGCGTCGACCGAGATCGGCGAAGTGTCCGCAACGATTTTGGTAAAGTCGGCCGGTGTGTCCGAGCTGGCCGAGTAGAGCGCATACGTGACGCCTGTAGGGAATGTCGAGAAGCGGAGGGTGACGCCGCAGAGGTTGGCGGCCGAGAGCGAGTCCGGGAGGTGGTAGACAAAGGCGTTGGCCTGGACGTGGGTGATCGTGAGAAGGGTCGACGTTCCGGGCCATGCCGTCGAGCATGTTGCCACGGCCGGCGCCACAGGCAGCGGGGCAAGCACGCATACTAATAGAAGTATGGCAAGGATGCAGCAATGAGGCCGTGGCCACGGCATGACAGCGTGGCGTGTGTGTGTGTGGAGGGGGGGGGGGGGGGGGGGAGGTTGAGTCGAGTGTTGCGTTTGGCAGATATTGCTCTTAGCGGCATCTGGTCAACAGCTGGTCAAGACTCGTGTGTGGAACAATTTTTTGTTTTTGCGGATTGGGGTGATTGGGCGATGTTGGTGGGAGAGGGGTGATGATGATGCAGATGGTGTGGGATGTGTTGTTTGGTCATGGGCGTGCGGAGGTGTGTGATGAGGTGTGTGTTGTGTGCTGTGTGTTGATGGTGGTATGATGTGATGATGGTGGTATGATGTGATGTGATGTGATGTGATGTGATGTGATGTGATGTGTTGTGTTGTGTTGTATGTTGTGTGTTGTGTGCTGGTGGTGGCAATACTGTATTGAGATGGCCATTCTCCTTGAAGTGCTTGCAGTGTCGATGGTTCTTGGCTTTGTCGCCAGCCACTGAGGCTCTGGTGTCCCTTGGAAGATGACATTGTTCAACCATCGTTCATTCGATCGTTCGATCGTTCGACCGTTCGATCGCACCATTGTTCGAAATCGATATCAATCGTTGCTCGCCGTAACGCCAGTCGCCCATCCCACAACACCACAGCTGGAACTCACTCCCTCACCCACGACCCACACACGTCTCAAGACAACAACAAGTAGTATGCCCCCCACCTCTGCCCCCTTCCCCCCCCTCCCCCTCCCCCTCCCTCCCTTCTTTCCTCTCGCACTCACTCAATGCCCCCCCCCCCCCCTGTCCCTTGCCCGCCCACAGTCATGTCTGCAGGCCCAAGCGAGGAAGTCGGTATGGAGGTCGAGCTGACGGGCAGCGCGCTGGCGGTGGATCAGCTGGTGGCGGTGGCTGGTGATGTGGAGGGGACGATCAAGGCGAGTAAGAGCGCGATGTCAAGTGTGGCGGATTCGCGCAAGACCATGGAGAAGCTGCTGAAGAAGAAGGAGGCGGTGGTGGCCGATGTCAACTCGGGCTGCGGCGGGGCGTCGGCGGTCGGTGAGGTCATTGGCAAGAAGGAGATCAACATGGCGACGACCAACTGGTTCAAGTCGATGGTGGAGGAGGCGTACGCCGAGCTTCCGGAGGATGCGGGTGCCGAGGCGTACGCGTCGCCGCAGGCTGCGCGGATGATGGTTGTGCTCAAGATCAACGCCATGCTGAGCGGCGGGACCGGGGTGCGCAAGTCGCTGGTGCAGGCGGCGATCAAGGTGTTCAACGCCGGCATTGTGCCTGCGGTGCCGCTGAGTGGGAGCGAGGCCGGGCGGACGGCGGCGGCGATGGCGCCGCTGGTGGGCGCCGGGCGGGTGCTTGTGCGCGGCGAACCTGTGACGGCGACGCCGGAGCTGTTCAAGGCTGCAGGATGCAAGCCAGTCTCGCTGGCGGCCAAGGAGGCACTTGCGCTGACGAGCGGGACGGCGCCGACGACGGCGTACGCGGTGCTTGCGGCGACGAAGCTCGCGGTGCTAGTCGGGCAGTCTGCAGTGGTGTCGACGGTGTCGTGGGCGGTGCTTGGCGGGCCGATCCAGCCGTTTGACGAGCTTGTCCACATGGGCCGGCCGCACAAGGGCCAGCGGCAGATTGCGGACGTGCTGCGGACATTTGCGCTGCCGGAGATGTGGCACTCGGAGGCATACGCGGCGGCGCGTGCGGCGCGGAGCGACGCGGCCGACGCGGCCGGCGGAAGCCCGGCAGCGTGCCTGGCGGAGATTCCGCAGGTGTACGGCGCGGTGGCCGATGCTGCCAAGGCTGCGATGAAGACGCTGGGCGTGGAGATCAACGCGTGCGGCGACTCGCCGATGATGCTGGAGAGTGGGTCGCTGGCGGTGACTGGCAACTCGAATAAGGCGTACCCCGCACTGGCGGCGCAGAGCCTGGTGGCAGCGGCGAGCGAGCTTGTGGCGAGCATTGTGGCGCGGGCGGGCGCGGTCGGCGCGGACGCAGACGACCTGGCGCAGCTCGAGACGTCGGCGGCTGCGACGGTGGGCGCGAGCGATGCGGC